ACCTCGGAAGGGGCGGCTCCGGCAGCCCCAGGGACTCCTGCCGGGAAGAGCTCCCCGGTTCCCGGCCAGCCCCGACCCAGCCTGGGCGTCTCCCGCCCCGGGCTCCAGGAGCGACCGGCTCGGGAAGGCGGCACGTACCGGCAGACAAGGCTCTGGTGACCGCGGTGGCCTGGCCTTCGGGCGCCCCGCGCAACATCTCGGCCGGCGTCGGCGCGCTGCGCCCTTCGGCCCTGCTCGCGGGTTGCCAGGTGCCGGCGCGTGGAAGGCCCGGACACTGCTTCCGGGTCGCAAGGTCGCCGTCGCTTCCCCCTTCCCGGGCAGGAGGGAGGGAGCGCGGAGGCCGGCGAGTGGAGCGGTCCGCGAAGGCGGTTCCCTCCGCCCGATTCCGCCCGCCGAGGGAGAGCGCCTCTCGCCCCGCCGGGAGAGTCCAGGGCTCAGCAGAACGAGGCCGACGTGGAAGTAAAGCGCAGCGATCGGAAGAACCGCGGAATGGACGGCCGGGCGAAGGGGAGACCTTTGGGCGTCCCCCGTCAGCTGGGCTGGGCTGGGCTGGGCTGGGCTTTGGCGTTCAACCGCAGGGGGGGAAATCGAGTTTATCAGTCGGTCCCCGGCGGTGCTGGCTGAGGAATTCTGGGAGTTGAAGTCCACACATCTTAACGTTTGCTAAGGCTGAGGAACGCCGCTTTAACCGAAGGAAAACATGGAGCGTGCGTCTGTGTGGGTCTAGACACAGATGTCTCTCTGTATCTCCGTGTGTGAACACACACACACAATCATACACACAGATTGCATGCATGCACACACATCCCATTGCAGGATTAGATTTCAGCTCAAATTTCGCCGTTCTTGCTACATCCTTCTCCAGCGGAGGTATTTCACTAAACGAAAGCAAAACAAACCGCCTCCTACGTTACGTTTCTAGCTCCTACTGCCGGTTTCCCCGGAGGAGGGGGGGAAAAGGATCATAGAGTAGGTCCGGCACCGATTTGGTTCCCCGACGCGCTACTTCCGGCGGGGACTTTTCCGCCCAGTCGCGGAAGGAAAGAGCGACAAGCTGCTGTGTAATGTCGAGCTAGTTCCGAGGCGTTCTGCGCATGCGCAGCAGAGGGTGTTTGGTCGGGCCTCGGTGTTAGTGGCGGCCGCGGAGGAGACGCGATGCCGGATTATTTGGGGGCCGATCAGCGCAAAACCAAAGAGGAGGAGAAGGAGGATAAACCTATCCGTGGTAAGAGCTTCACCCGGGCGGTAACACGTAACCCGGGCCCCTAGAAGGCGGCTGTATTCACCCAAGCCTCTTAGCCAGGCCGAGTCAAGGCCCCGCGGGTGCCCTCGCGCAGCGCACGGAGCTCGCTCAGGCGGCTCAGTGTGTCGTGCGAAGCCCGTTTCTGGTTCAGTTGGGTGGATGGCCCAGCCGGGTCAGGCGTGTCGTGTGAACGCAGCCAAAGAGCATCCCCCTTTGCGGGAAGCCTGCGTGGAGTCCCGCCCTGGAACTAGGACTCCTTCAGGCGCTTCGGGCCCCGGGCTGGCTGGGCTCGTTCGGAGCGTAGCGCCCAGACGCCTCCTCCGATCTCGCGTCTTTGCTCCCGGAGTAGGCCGGGCTGACCCTTGGAGGGCCTTTATATGAAGTCCTGCCCTCCGGAGGCAACCGTAAGCTCCGTCTGAACGAGGTGGACTCGTAGTTCTGAAGAGAAGCAGAGTCAGGAGGCTGCAGCGCGCAGCATAATTTCGTTGTGTTAGTCCTCGTAAAAATCAGAAGATCGTGAAACATTGCTGAGTAAAACCCTCCTTCGTTTACTGTTAGTAGAGTGTATTTATTTATTTTTCATTAGATTTATCTTCCAAGAGTTGGGTTGAGTTCAGATGGGTTTATCTGCCTAAAAACGTCTTTGACTGTTTGTGGTATGCGAAATGGCCACAGAGACACGTTTCTGAACTGAAAAATGGCTTCATCTGGTTTTCATTGAGCTTACCTCTGGGGAACATTATTTTTTAGACCAGAAGTTGCCAGCTTGTAAATCACCTTTAATTTGTGATAATGCTGCAACTTTCCAACTATATTGTTTCACAGAGATTTTGTTACTAGGCCACATCAAATAGTTGAAATCAGTTGGAGCTATTTTTGAACAGAGATGATTGAAATGGGTCCTGAAGGGAATTTTAGTGCCAAAGGCCCAATCTGTAATGTGTGTGTGTGTACACACACACATTCTGAGCTATTTAATTCCTAAAAATAAAAATGACATTTATTTGCAATGTAATAATATTGTTTACATGGAATGCCAAATTATCTTTACTGGACCAGTTTTATTTAGTTTATTATTAGATTTATATCCCTCCTTTCATTCTAGAAGTCAGCATGAAGTTCCTAGTGCTCCCTCCTATTTTTCCCCACAGCAACAACTTGGTGAAATAGGTTTGTCTGAGAAAGAGTGACCATCCCAGAATCACCTACTGAGCTTCCACGGCTGAAGGTGAACTAGAATCTGGGTCTCTGCATTCATAGTCAATCACCTGTTTAATTTCAGAAATAGAATTATTTGCCCCAAACCATTCTATATGGAAAAGAGATGAAATAATAGAATAAAGTTCAGGGTTTTTGTTTTGTTTGGTTTTGTTTGTCCTTTAAGGTTGTATGTGTAGTACCTGATGATAAAATGAGATTACTGTAATGACATTGTTATCTGTTGGGAAACAAAGTAAAATGTCATTCCTTTACTATTTCAAATTATCTCTGTTATGTCTCTCAGCTTTGGATGAAGGTGACATTGCCCTGTTGAAAACTTATGTAAGTACTTCATGTAACTACCACTTCTAGCATACTTTGAGAACTGGTTATAATGAAACATTTAGGAAGCATCTGCATTAAACAAATTGATCAGGATTCCAGAGGGATATTCATATTAATATTTTGCAGCAAAGGTGAGAAAAAACTTTATGGCTTCTTAAAGGCTAATTGATTGTGAAATATGTTTTCTTGGATCACTTTCCATCTTCAGATGCATAGAATATTGTCCTCATTGAGTATTTTTTACACATACAGTCAGGTCCAGAAATATTGGGACATTGACACAATTCTAACATCTTTGGCTCTATACACCACCAC